CAGACAGTTTGAATCGGTTAAGTGACAAGTTGAGAGATTGCCATGACTCTATTGTTCAACTGTCGACATCTCCAGGGATTTCTATTGATTCCTTGCGCTGTTGACAGGTTTGGAATCAACGAATGTATAGCTACGAATGCTCTAGTTTGAATCTAGATCTCTACATATTTATGTATATTACTATACCTAGAGAGAGAGGAAAATTGTTTAATTACTCAGACATGTTGGTTTTTGCCATAGATTGAGTTACAAATTTGGATATACATGACTCTTAATGGAATACCTACTTTTATAATCTAAAATACAAATGTAAACTTGATGTTTCTCATTTCCCCAGTGATGTTTTAGCAACGGTTAGTTGATACGCATATAACCAAACTAGTCATGACAATCAGAAAATTTGGATTTTTTTCATCCAAATTAGTTTGGAATGAATAATTATTTTTTATAAATCAGAATTAGATTTTTTGGCCTATAAATATTGCGATAAAGAGAGAAAATGCTAGAAAGCCTGTAAAATTGACGGATTCTTTTACGAACTAGAAGAAGAATCGTCTATATAACGATAATCCCACAGCTCTTATCCGGATTTTCTTGATTAGTTCATCCGTTTTTTGTTTTTTTTTCTCTCGAAAGATTTATTGAAGCAATTAAGATTGAAATTAGACGAGGGAATATCATGAAACGGAACATAAAAATAGATGAGTCAAATATTAGTATAGATATAGAAAAAAAAAGAGGGATAGAGGGGATAGAAAAAAGGGAGAAAAATTTTTATAAAAATAATCAATTAAATGTGAGAAAAGCTTAAAACTTTTCCTTGAATTCTCGGGACTGTAATTCGATTTCTCCTTCAAAGTAAAATGATAGAAAGAGAAAAAGACAAAAAAAAACTATTCGAATTTCGCGCCATATGTTCGCAAGCGACAGCCGCGGTTATTCTCTCACCGACCAGAAATTTAAATTTACGTTCTCTCAGTCTGTCGGTCTCGGTGTTTTTCGAACTTATGAAAAATGAGTCTAGCCCCATTCGCGCGGCGTACAACCTCGTCGAAACTTTTCTCCTCTTCAGTAGTCCCGTCAGCCTTTCGTAATTTCCAAATTTATACTTTTCAGTTTTTTTTATTTCTCCATCGGTAAATTCTTTTTTTTTTATCAAAGTGACACAATCCTATGTAACCTTGACAAACTAAGGGGAAATAAATAGAGAGTTGGTATAAATTTTTTTTAGAAAAAAACATTAAAATTAATTTAGAGATGAATTATTTTAACATATTTGAGAGCCGTTAAATATCTGATACAATTAAAATATTTTCTCAAATTTATAAAGTTTTCAGCAAGCGATGATTTAAGAATTTCTAACAAATAAATAAGTGAGGACATTAATGTGTCAATTAGAAGCATTTTTATTGCTAAAAAAATTTTTCTTTGTCCGAACTAATACGATTGATGTTTGATATCTACAAATACTATCATTCTTGTTCAGATATCAATTAATCTCTGATTTCTAGTTCACAAAATATATACTTGTCAGCGGAAGTGATAGATTCTCTATTGTATTAGAATAGAACTGATTCAACATTTCATAATATTTAATCCTGAAAGTTCACTTCTGGTTGAAGTGTTTTGAAAATAGGACAATATCCTTCACAACAGAATGACACGAATTTTGTTTTATGAAATGATATTGTCTTAAAATTTTCAAGTTATAAATAAGTCCAGCGTCATCTCTATGAGCAAACAAAATTGAATAACAATGTAATTAAACTTTTAATCTTTAATCAAAACGTATTTAGCTGAAGTTTAAGGGGAATAAATGAAGTTACATAATTGATGAAAATTCTATGAGAAATAAAATATCACATGCAGCCATTTTTAATCACCATCTCTTGTTGTAAATTTCTTACAAACAGGAGTATAAATTTATGAGGCTTGTTATTAAATAACCCGTTGCGTCGCCGGCAAGTGTAAGCGTCTTACGTAATACATGTAATATGACTTCATTATAACATAAAAGTTCAACAGAGGTAAATGCGTCAGTTGATATACAGGTGAAACACTTATGATGTTTGAACTATTTAATGGAATATTTTCAACATCATAAAACTCATTAAGATCTTGTTAGCAATCTTTTAGTGTAGACTGAACGAAATTTGATTGTTGAAAAGCATTTAATAACTGTATATATTTTATCAATATGCTTGCACAATGCTCGTACAATTGTTCGTTTCTCGACGTTTACGGATGTTTCACTCCCACATATTCGAGGATCGCATACATCGAGATGACTGGCCACCATCAACGTATATCCGTCATCTATATAACTACCTACAGGTACACAGAAATGTGTACCATGCACACCGAACGCCCTTCGACCACTTGTGTTGCCCCCATTCCTATATATACAATACCAGTCTATTCTGTATAAATAGTCGTGGTATGTATGTGATAACCGGCCTCTATTCGATACATACCTTCACCTATATTCGCTATTTTATGTCGTATTAAGAGTATACGTGATTTCAAAATATTATATATGTATTTTCACTTCTCTATTGCACAGTTTAACCATCCAACCGTACCGAACTCTCGTTATATTTTTTACTTTTCCTTGTACATGTATACATTATTGTTCAATATTTTTTTATCATTATTTAGTTTCGTTATTTTTTGCCCACCCCAGAGTGGGAGAAAGAGTTTGCAACTAGTTTCAGGTCAACGAGTAAAGCTTGGAGATGAAGTATTAATATGGAGGGGAAAATAATTAATAGAGTACTAAATGAAGTGATAACAAACTTTATATTAATATTGAAGAATAATGTACGTAGAGGTATATATGTATGTTGTGAAAAATTTTGTGCTCAAAGAGAAATTAGTTGATGTCGAAAATTTTTTATTTGGAAATTTTGTTTGTTGGTTTTCGAGATTAATATTTTTAGTTTTAATGAATTATGAGATAAATATTTCATTTTAAACAATATTTAATAAGCGAATAAAGTTTAAAAAAAAACTTTAAATTAGTGCAACTTTTTAATACTCGATGAAAAATTTTGATTCTTTTTTTTCTTGAAAATTTGACAGTTATTATTATATTTTTCAGCATCCATAATAATTATAGTAATTAATAGATCTAAATTTAATGCAAAACTTTTTATGGTCTAATTAATCATCAGATTCATTGACCATCTTTAAAGTATTTCTTGGTATAAACATAAAAAGAATAATTGATTGATTAATGATATTTTATTCATTGAATAATAATTTTCAATTATGATTCAATCTATAAATATTTAATGTTCATTATTTGTCAATGAATGTCGTTTTGTACCAACATCAAATAATGTTTATTCTGTCAACAATAAACACTGAAAAATTCCTACAATCAAGCGCAATTTTACTGTCGATGTGTTAAATTATATCAATGCAAAAAATTTCACAATGGTAATTGATTTAAAGTAGTTCCATCACGTAGATTCGTTTTTTTCAATGTTTAATCAAAACATCCAATTTTTACAGGTTTTTTTTTGCTCTATTTTATAAATTCTGTACAATAGAAAGCTTTGATTCAATCAATATTTCCAGTTAGTTAATTAACCTATTTGTTTAAATTCACTGTTTAAAAAATTATTCAACTCAATCAATACGAATGTGTCATATTACATCAATTGTTTTACCAACAATGAATTGTTGATGAGAATCTTAAAAATTAAAAATGACCAAACATTTTAGCCAATTATGAAATTCATATTTTAAATATGATTAAATTTAGGCATGTGAAGTAAAAAAACATTTTCTGTATCTTATGAAATCTAAATTAAATTTATCAAGTGGAGCAGTAAAAAAATCAAGAACACTACATTAACCAAATTATTAGGGGCGTTTCTTGCTTAATCAAATAACGACTTAAATGTCGAATATTTATAGAATCCAATTGATCAAAGCATTTCATTTATTGATAGCCAAACTAATCCTGAAAATTCTTTGACAATCCAATTGATTGAACAGCAAGTGCTTATCCTTGATTATTTTAAAGAATCATCAAACGATAGTACAAGGGAGTGGTTTCGTGGAAACGAGCGACTAATCTCCAATGAAATCTCCAGCGGGGCGTTAAGGGTTTTCAGGCGTACAAGCCTCGAGGGTGCAATTAATCTGCACAGCTCACATCTCGATGTACATACGAGGACTGCACTATAGAGAAAAGAGAGTTCTCTGGGAGAGCTTCGAAATGTAGGATAGCAAAGTTGATTACAACTTGATAGTAGAAGTGATAAATATTTTTTATTTCTTCGAAAAGATAGATCACAATGAAAATACTATTCTTCTTCCAAGATCAATTTCGCTCTTTACAAGGCAAAAGGAAACGAAGCTTGACGAATACTTTGCTTCAATGATATCGAGTAGTGGATCAAATTGAATCCAATAACCTTAGCTAGATTACAACTCTGATTGCTTGATACAGGATACTGTACTAAAGGAAAAGAATAAAGAAAGAATTATATAAGAACAAGTATCTTTTCCAATAACTATCATATATAGGTTGATGTATTGATCAATTCTATAGATATAAATACTGCTATTTATCATTTTTTAAGTTATTAAAATAATTACATCTTCCATTATCACTAACTATATTCTTTAATTTCAATATTTCCAAAGCTTCTTTCGTTTCACTGGCAAAAACTTTCTTTGATTCTTTCGAAACAACTTGGCAGTGCCTTCCGGACTTACTTTCTTTTACTCGCCCCTTTGCAATGAGACCCACGAGGTTCGCGAACAAATCGACTGGAACGATATCTTGAGCAATTTCCTTGGTACGTTTCTAGTCGTTTCTTGAAATATCAATTTTTTTTTATATTTGTCACTTGATTTTATTATCATTGTGATGCACTTCTGGTTGTTACACTTGACATCCTTCACAAGTGATAATTGAATCAAGTTTATGACTCTAGGTGTTTATCAGGAAAATTATTAACATGATCCATTTATAAATTACTTACTGACTAACGTAAGGTAGGGGATGTTGTGAGACTGGTAGTGTGATAGACTGCATGCTTCTTCTGGTCTTGATATTGTTTTGCCTGCTTGCATCTCCATTACATGGCCGTCTCGTTTGTAGAATGTCATACATATATAACCACTTCGGCTAGAAAGTAAACAAGAGAAATAAACTCATAGTTTGAAGAAATATATTTTTATTAAACTGTATTTAAATATTTTTCCATGTTATGATGTTTAGGAATAAATTAGATAATAAAATCCAATTCATAAAATTAGATTTGAAATCATTTTGAAATACTAAAGGTGTTATTTATTCTATTTGAAAGTTTTTAATGGTGAAACATGATTCAAAGTCATATTTGAAAATATATTTTATTGATAAATTAATTTCTCTTTTAGATAATAGTATTATTTGCTAATGTTATATCTTATTGAAAGAATAAAAAATTTATTTAAATATTTCAGTAAAAATTTAATCATTCTGAGTTTTATTTACTAGAAATCAGGATTAAAAAATCTATAAGAAACCCGTATTCTGTAGCTTTTTATTTCAAAACAATAGTGTAATTTTTTATAAACACTTGAGCATTACATAAAAAATTCACAATGTACTACTACATTAAAATTCTTTTTATTAATAAAAAGAATAGCTGAGGGGAAATTTTTTCAGTAAGAATAAAAAATTTTAAGAGATTTAATAAGAAACATGGAAAAAGGTTTTTAAGTAGACTTGCTTCATTTCTTTACTCACCACCCAACTGTAAAGTGAGCAACAAGCATTGTTACAGTTTGTGTAGGATTAGACTGTTTTATAGTATTGCATAATATCAAAACATCCTGATCCTCTTCATCACCAACAATATCTTGAAAGCCAGAGGATCCACTGTCAAACCAAGTACTAGACGAGTTTGACCTGCTTACATGAAGTGTAGCATTTCGATGATGGAACGTGAAAGAACGAGCTAGGTCGAGGGTGTGCCATGTAAGGCCATTATTCGGATATCCAGAGAGCCAACTCGGAAACTGGCACTTACCCGGCGACGATACTAGAACAAAAAGTAAAAATGACTTGACTTTCTTTGCTATTTCTTTTTGTTTATCCCCCGATTAATCTTCAAGACAGATTGAAAGTTTATGGACGATCTTTTGTTTTGTCAAGCGCGCCTGAATGGTTATCTCATCAGTGTGTCTTGCCACTTGATATCGCGCGTACATGGCTTACAAAAGCTCTTTTCTTGTAACCTTCTATTCCCTCATGCCGCGGGTGATAAAGTCACGTTGCACATCTCAAGAGAATTCTACGACAACCGATAAAATCTCAAGAAAACCACGCGAAGAATTTGTTCCTCAAGAAAATCACACTTTCTATCGTTCTATTAAACTTTTTAACCAAGACTTTTTGTATTTCCCAACACCGTATTATTTTTATAGGATCGTAAAAGCTATTATTCTTTTGTAAAAAAATATGTAAGAATAAGTCTGGATAATCTGTTGAGACATTACTTGTACTTAAAATCAATCCATATATTTCTTCATCAAAACCTACCTTTTGTCAAGGTCATCGTTCGTGAACCCTCCATGGGACTGAAGAGACCATTACAGGTGGCGTCACCACTTTGTGCCACTCGATAAACCTCCGGGGAACCCTCGGGAATGGGTCCACCAGCTGGAAATGTGACCTCGTGGTCGATAGTCCCCATTCCTAAAACTGCTCGACCCAAACCACCTACACTTTGGCCTGCTCTCTCGTATACAAAACATCGATAACGCTCTTCATTGCTTGATGCGTGGCCGTGGTGTAAACGACCCACGAGATATCGACTGCTTCCCTCTTTCCACAATGCTAGACACTCTAGTTCCTCCACTGCAACAGAAACAATTGTTTGTAATTTGCTGAAAGATTCTAACGATAAAGGTTATAAAGGTTGTCGTTTCTGATTTTACACACCCAACTAAATTATATGGATACTAAGAGTGAAATACCCCGAGATTCGATATCGAAAATCGCTCGATACTTGGTGTCTTTTAGAATCTTTACAATTATCGTGTCGAAACTTCAGAGTTTCAAGAATCGACGTTATCTTTTTACCAGCCAACTCGTTCTCACCCTTTAACTTGTGAAGTCCAGCTAAGCTTGACGTCGACCAAAGATCCCGACGTGCTCTTATCTAAATCACATCTCGTACCGAATAGCAGAGCTCGTTTTCTTTCTGTCCTACTTTTTCTTAGTTTAGGACAGTAATTCGCGAAAGGAAAAAACGAATACCTGCTTCTTTTATCTTCTATCATTTTTCAAACCTGTATGACGGATTTACTGTCTTTCTACATCTTCATTTGTTCTACTTTTCCAGTTCTTGACTGTGTAATTATCCATTCATCAAAATAATTTGTATTATTTTCAATTTTTCTACATAATACCCAATAAAAATATTAATTTAAAAAATTTTTTACCTAATCAATTTTCATTTTTGTTATTTTAGTTTTTTACAATATATCTTGACTTCTATTTTAATATTTGTTTAATTAATTTTACGTGTTCATGATTGAAGAGTCAAGATAACAATACTCGATTGTTATTTTTAGTATCAATTATTCTTTTTTTAAAAAAAAAACTTTTTTCAAAAAATTGATTGAAAATTCAAGAGTATTCGAGTGCAATTCTATGATTTTTCTTCTCTTGAAGAGAATCATTACTAATTTATAATTAATTCGATAACTAATGTACATAACAATTTGATGATTAATATTTCAAGAATATTTAATATTAAACATAGCAAAAGTTTTTCACAATTATTTTGTCAATAAAATGATAAGCATAATAGTAGTTTTTATGCCTTTTCCAACAACCTAAACATAGTTAAATTTTTTTCATTGTTCAAACCCATATAACTATTGCATTAACATAAAAGTTTTTGAATATATTTAAAACGTTGATCTGACGAAAAAAGTTTTGCAAAATATTATATTAGCTATTAACCATAAATGTAATTTTACTATTAAAATATATTTAAATGCAAAAGGTCAATCTATCCAAATGGTGAGTACTAAAAAAATTTTAAAAATAATCAAAATCAACCAATGTGTTGTAAATACTTGTCAAAGATTTACAAACAACATTTGTCGAATGTTTCATTTACTTTTGACCCGTATGCTAAGAAGTTTGACAGAGTTTCAAAGCGTAATGTCATCACATACACCACACAGTGTCCTCCCTATTCTGAATAACATCGATTCTACATTTTCAACTACTTAGAAAGCCCACTGAATATTCCAGTCTCTAAGTTTCTTCCTAGTTGTAACATGTCACTAACGTTAAATTTCTTAGTAGCTCAAAACTTTCGTCAGCAGTATTACAAATAAATATTTCATTTAATCTTCCAATTTCGTGTTGGTGGTAAATTCAGATAAACCTGCACACTAACATACACCCATTCGTCGTATTACACTCTCACCAACTACTCGATATATAGGTTATCGTGACGTTAAAATATCGTTTCGATGTTTCTCATATATACAGCGACATTCTTGACAGTGGTCGATTACTGTCTCAGGAGGACGATGACACTGTATAACTATGTTAAAAGGGTTTTTAGGATCTCTTACCTGCACTCTCTGAAGCCGGAACATCAGGACATGCTTGATACCTGAAGAGCAGTCTACTATCGTCTGTACAAGTGTCAACATTGCTGAGTGGACTAGAACATGTTCCATGGCCTCGGTTATACGTGAAGGTCATTGGGCCACGAAAAGGACAAGGCACAGCCGACGCTTCTTCACGAAACATTGAATAAAGTAGAGCGTCACCAGTTATATAGGAACACAGAGATGCCAGAGAATTTCTGCTATGACAATATGCTGTAACACAAGTAACAAACATAAATTCTAGCATTCAAATTTCGAATGAATATCGCCAATATAAATTTCAAGTTGACTTCTATATTGATAGAAAAAAATAAGGAAATACCAGAAAATGTATATATATTTTGGATGTATAGAAAAATGAATAGATGTATTTTTTTATTAGTGGTTGGTAATATTTCTTCGCCTCCAGCAGTTCACTATTGAAGCTTGTGGAGATTAAATTCCAATAAAAAAAAAGAAGGGACATGTCGTTCACTGACTTTGACAAATTGTTGAAAAATGCGCGGTCGGCAGTAGAAGTTGCAGGAAATGATGGCAGCATAGCTCTTGAGTTTCTCAAGTGTCCGTTTAGTTGATGGTCACCGTGATGTTCACTCTACCTGCACTACCCATATCCATATACGACATTTTCACGATACTCAACTGATTTTCCGTCTTTCCAACGTCCACTTGACAAACCTATTTTTCATTTTTGCCCGAGATATTTATCCACTTTTGTAATCTAGAAAAGGTTTCTTTTTTTATGTGAGACTGAACTAGTAAAAATTGAACATTACTTTTTCTACTTAGATGTTATTATGGCTTCTAGAAGTAATCAGAACTTAATAAAGAAACAACATTTTCAGAAAGTTAACAAATAAAATCTACAATAGCAATTGAGACGTATATTCTTAATTTCACTAAAATTCATTTGAAACATAATTGAAATTTTTTGTTGAATATCTTTTTAACTGATAAAATTTTAATAAATTAACAAATGATTGATGAATAAAAATTGAAAATAATTTTAATTAACTTTAGTCAATACAACTCTACAATCCAGATCCTACACTATTTATTTAGATGTTGTTGAAGACAAACTAACCCTACTAGGTATAAACCAATCCTAATTCTAAGTTTTCCAATTAAAATAGCATTCACAATGGCAAACCAATTTCCTATTAGTACAATTTCTTGTTTTTTCCATCATATGTTAATACAGAAATAGAATCAGTTTCTTGGTTGCAGACATAGCATGTTTTGCATGAATATTGAATTTGAAATTTTCTGTCAATTAAATCTACTGACACGAGATGCTTGGGATTTGCTTAGAAATCAAGACACCTTTTCCAAAGACAATGAGCGTAATTGTCTTTGCTGCATTGCGACACAGCAAGAGGAGAACAAACCTACGCGTTGTTTTACTTCCTCAACATTAGACTGTTTTCCATCTTTGCATCCTTGTTGTCGTATTCGTCGTCGTTTTAGTGTCAACGTTGACGTAGCGCAACGACGCTTAGTCGAAAATGTATAGGTACGTCGTTAAGTTCAACCAGAATAATTCCCAAGCGTGACGTGCTATCTTTCTAGCTTCCTTTATGTGCGTTTATTATTATCGTCATTATTATTATTTCGGTGTTTCTTTTAAATGTAAAGTCATCCTATATTGATGTAATTGTTAAAAATACCACTAGGTAGATATTAAAATTTTTATTATGTTAACAAACTTACTCTCTTTATACTGCAAGACGTTAGTGTGTTTCTCATGAATAACGACACAGCGGTAACAGGATTTTCTGTAAAAAAAAAGAGACAAAAAGTAGAAAAAAAGCATTTGTAGAATGTCATGTAAAAATTTATGCGCTAAAAAATTGTAGTTGGAAAATGTTTGAGAATGTAGATGAGGTTCATTGCTCCCTGGACACTCTTTGCTTCCTACTGCTATTCCGAATGAGCATTCTGTGACGAAAATAAAGAGAACGAGGCTTTAATTTTTGCGGTGAATGAGAAAACTGTGAATAAGAGAGTAGTATGATGAGGTAGGAATAGGTCGAGGCGAGACACTGTGTGGGCCGATGCTTGATTCTTCTTTTTAATCAGTCTGTCAGGCAGATTGCTGTAGGCCCCTTACGACTATAGATTGTAGTCTTTATTTTGCTTTAGAGTCTAACTATAAAATCAATTTTTTCTAGATGTATATTGATAAAAAAAATTGTTTGGCCAAGTAATATTTATAAGTAACTGGAAATATCATTTTTCTACTTATCAACCTTTGACTATTTTTTTATTTAATTAATTTCTTACTATTCAAATCAAATAAAGTTGCAATTTTTTTAAAACTCTTATTTGATTTAGTTTAATTTGAAAAATTTATTGGAAAAAATAAAAAATGGAAATTAACGGAAATATTTAATAATTCAGTTTCATAATGAAAACTCATAGAAATTTAATTATATAAACATGAAAAAATTATAGCAACTAATGAATTGCAAGCAATCAATCAAAGGCAAAAAATAACTGAATAATTAAGAAATATCTCTGAATAATTTTCTTTCAATTTTATTTTCATTTAAATTTAATTATCTAATTAACTTTTCTTTCATGTAAATTGAATTCATTTTAAATAACTATTGCATTTAGAAGCTAATTAAAATTTGAATAATCCATGGTACACTCAGGTTTCTCATTACATTTGTAATATTACGTTAATAATTTAAAAAACGTCAATGCTTACTCATCCACAACGAGAAACTTGTCTCCCTCATTACGCAGACATCTACCCTTGCTTGAGAGGATGTTCTTGGATATGAGGATGGGTTGTCGCACGCCACTCTGGAACCAGGTACCTTCCCATTGCGATGGAAATGCACACTCTGTGAATGGAAAATAGACAAAAATAAATATGATGAATAATAATAATGATGATGATGATGATTATTATTATAACGATGAAATGTAAAGCATTAAAATAATGAGAGTAAGTACAGCTGAAAGAAATCTCAAGTATCAGAATCCAGGTATGATACTACTATATGGAGGTCAGCATAAAAAAATAAGTGGAGCATAAAATGAAATGTAAATGCAATTATATGAATAATCCTTTCAGATTCTTCAGGCTGTAGCCCAAGAAAAAAAAATATAAATCAAGTGGTGGTTACGATAAAGATAGGCCATGAATTTACAGAGTTGTAGGTATGTGTTATTTAGGGATCCTGTCAGCTATAAATTCACTAGACGTCGATATCGATACTGCAAAGGCACACATTTATATCCCCCTTGGACGTTTTTTCGGGTGTACGGTTTTGCAAGGTACAAACGAATCTTTAATCGAAGAGCTTAGCGGCTCTTGGAAAGTCACTGACCCTGGTTTAATCCGCCAGTAAAGGGATAGAAGAGTGCACTCGGAGTGAAATCCTGATAGTGAGAAAAGAGGGAAAGAGAATCTAAAAAGGGAATTGAAGAAGACCCACTTTCTTTTTTTCCAGTTTTTTTTCCTTCCTTCTTCTTCTTCTTCGTCGTCTTCTTTTATATTTATCTATGTATATGAAGAGATACATTATACTTATATATATATTTGTCATTTTGAAGTTCTTTTTGATTCGATACTTTTTTTTATTTATCAAGTTAAACTTAAAAGTTATTTTAACTTTTCAATCAATCGTGGTCCCTGCAATCGAAGCGAAACAATTTGCGACGTTACACACAAAAATGTTGATGCAGAGTGAAAAATGTCGGAAAAAATTGGAGGCATTCAGCGTTAAACGAAGGTACGAGTGGCAGCAATTACTCGGTACCAGGGGCGAAATCAATACGAACGTGGTTCCGGCAATGTGGACTGAGGAACGCGTATACATTGGATATATATAGTTAAAAGGGGTGTATACCGGCATAGCTCTATACGGCCCTGATGAAAACGCACAGCAGGTTACCCCCTCCGGGTTGTACTCTGTCGATCCTCGACAGCAGCATTTATTTATTTCCATGCGGTTCGTATGCTGCACATCGCGCGTAGTTCGATTTCCAAATGGAGGGTGAATCTCGATTCACGGAGACTTTGGTGGTGCGGTGCCTCGTAAACCCACGAGATTCGCAATTCGTAATCACAGTTCGCACCCTCTGGGTTTCACTCTAAATACTTTTTCTCTCCATATATATATATATATATATATTATGATGTAGATATAGATATATGTATTTTGTTGTGAGCAATAGTGTGAAAGGAGTGGGACAAAGATTTAATCGTGTAACTGCAGTCTTTGCATAGTCACGATCGATTACATTCGATCACGCAAAAATTCGTCTAGACTCGCGTGAGCGACATACAGTCATGATTAGTCGTCATGCACGAAAAAAATCGATCTATTCGTTAGTCAAGTAAGTTGGCAACTTATTGTGATAAGCACAACATAGGAAATCATAAATAATTTAGTAACAAGTTAAAGCCAGATGATGGTGATGCAATGGATGAGGTTTATATGCTTTTCCATAAAACCTCCCCCTTGTTCGGTTGGCTCAAGTCAGGGTTCTTTCTCACAAATTCGTTTAGTACGACGTCTGCAATTAGGGGCTCATTACTTTTGCGGGTTCTTTGCACCAGTAACGACCTCTGCGAAACCGTAATTTACCTCTTCAACTATTCTGCGCTATGTTTATGCACCGCAAACTATTTCTCAATGGTACGTGGCATTTAATTTACGTCGTTCTCTTGCATCTGTTCGTATATATAAGTCGAGCGATTCGAGCATCAACCATTTCTCAATTTTCTCCCGAAATATATGTTACATAACCGGCTAACGAGATATCTAATAAACCCTGCAAGTATTATTTCTCAAGCGCTCATTTTTTCACTCACGAAATCACATTTTAAAAAATAAAATACTTCCTTTCTTGGTATAGCTGCGATATTATACAGAAGATAATCAGCAGAGAAAAAAGGATGAAAGGGAGAGAGAAAGAGAGCGTGGGCGGTCTCACGCTCTTTCGCTAAAGTATTACTTTGCTGGTGGTTGGTGTTCACGCGGCCGTACCGGTAACGAGGCCCCCCCGTGAGCCCGTAATTCACCCTTGAAATGGCGCGCGACTAAAGCCAACCCCCTCGATGGCGTTTGCGTCACGTGACGCCAAAATTTCTTGATTAAGGTTGCACGCGATGCCTCCCGGGATCTAGCCAACACCAAAATGCGCTTCTTTTCCTTCATGTACTCTGCTTAATTTTCCAGCCCGTTACAATCTACTCCCCAAGTCCCTTCTTATAATACTTATACGACCCTCTGTGCAGCTTCAGAAAAACATCGATTCCTTAACTTACCCTTTTTATCATCCTTATTATTCTCGGTAATTTATTAGTTAACCGTACATTAATATAAGAAATACTTGACTTGATTTACCGTTTTGTTTTCAACACTAGGGTGTAACATCTCGAGGGTATATATTTGCTCTACTTTCCACGAGTATTCACGTCAGTTGAATGTCAAGTTGAATCGACTACTCGGAAATTGGTTGATCGGTATAGCCAAAGCGTTATCATCGAAACTGGAATGTGTAGAAGTAGCGTGATGACCAGGATGTATTTACACATATACCAATTTTGTATTATGTAGTACGTTTTTATGTACATATGTTAGTATGTGTGTGGAACATCGTTACCAGTACATTCGGGACACCCGCATTCTGCCATTCATTTTCCCAAAAGGGTTCGCGAATTCGCCAATCAATGCTATCGATGTCCGTTGATGTCCGAGAGGTTCACAAGCCCTCTTCTCTCTATCTCTCATCGTATTTTTCAGTCAGCCATGACCGATTGATTACGTCACAAATATACACTTGTGTAGACCTTTTGTTTGTGCTGTCTACTCGGCCAAACTGATGCTGGGAACCCATATCGATTTATATTTAATCAAAAAGAGAAATCAGAAATGATTTTCCGAGTCTTTGGACTTCACGGCCAAATATACAAAGAATAAAATATATCTGTCAGACAGAAATATCTGACATTCTGACAGTAAATGTGTAGGGAAAAAGAGTCCCAGTAGTCCGCGCTACTGACAGCTGTCAGCCGTCTGAATCCGGAAAGTTTAGTATACTATAGAAGCAGGGGAACCAAAAGTTGATATTGCTGCGTTTGCTACTAGAATTTCTCCGTCTCTTTCTCTATTCCTGATTTAACAGTAGCATCGTCAGTATAAAACACTCAGGGGTTTGTTATTAAATAAGTTCTACTTTATTCCAAATGTTGAATAGAAATAATAAAGCTAAAAACTTGCTGTTCAGCCAATGTTTTTACTTGGCTTTATCTTGGTTGGAGATTAGCAAACTTGCTCGTTTTATTCATTTAAAATTAACTTTATGGAAGTTAGAATAATTAGCTACTGCTATATACGCGCTAAAAAATACTCACGAAATTTTAATAAAACGTTTTTGTGTCAAGAATCAACGCTCTTATATTTATTTTTAGAGTCAATAAACTACTATGATATCTATTTTAAAGAAAATTAAAATTCATAGAATGTTTTGGGTTTTATCGTAAGGAAAATTACAATAAAATGTAAAGATATTTGTATAAAATATCCAATTAATACAAGTAATACTGAATTATGAATAAACTTAAACTGAATTTTTTGACACAGTCAACGATAAGAAGATTTCAGGCAAATTCTAAATTTTCAATTACGTGAGACAGCAGATATTACCATATTTAATTCATATTCATTTCCCTAGAGTTATAAAGGAAATTTTTTACAAGACTATTATAATTTTTGCATACTTTCAGCAGTAAAAATAATATATCAAATTTATATATCATAGTAAGTTTTACAATAAATTGTATATAATTTATGTGCAAAAATTTACATTAATCTAATATGACTAGTGTGTGGATGTTGTATGATTTTTTCGCTATAGTATTTTTGAAAGCAATATAAAACGTGATTTGGAATTCTTTTGTATTTCCATTAACAGGTTGAATCAATTTATATTAAACAAGCTCGAGAAGTGTGTTGCTTGTAAAAAAGCTAATTTTTTATTTAGAAAGACAAGAATTGTTATTTGTTTCACACCAAAGAATTTATAACATAATTTTTATTGTTATAAAACATATTTCAGACCCGATTTATGAAAATTATTATTTGTGAATAATCGAAAGAGAAAAAAAATATATGAAAAACTCGCGATATAAAATAATAATTTTCTTTGAGGAATAAAAATGTCAGAATAGCTATCGAATTGATTCACGAGAGATTTTCTATTTTATGAAATAAATTTGTTTATTGCTGTCTATAATTTATAGTCTAAGGAGTTTGAAAAGCTATCGTGAAAGCTTAAAAAATTTTCTCAGTCACTTCAGTGTAGGTATAGCTGGTGCAGTTGGAGGTTCACCAAAGTCCTGATGACGATGTCACAGATTGAAATGGCATCTAAAACGACCACAGCCCTCGAGGGACAACTTTCTATAGCCCCTCTTGACTCTCAGAGAGCAGATTCCAGCCCTTGAGATTCTCGTCGAAATTTTCGCGCGACCGCCTATCCACTTTTAGTAACTCGGCAGTTAGTGAATAATTTAGCAACGCTTCAAACTATACTTTCATTTCAAGTTGAAGTTTATCAAATATATCTGTCGCCAACTTTGTCATTTCCATAATAATCTTCGTCAAATCAATAACGTACTTACTTGATTTAAGCAAAGAACAAATGACAAAGTTTTGTATAATAAAAAGAATAAGCATGAGAAACATTTTATTTCAGTCTGCAGTTTCACTTGACGAACAAGTTACTTATGAAAAAAAGTTTTTCGTAGGTTGGAGAGTGGCTCCTGTTCATTTCCACGTGCATCTTTTCGTTATTATTATTCTTCTCATTTTCTTTCTTTCCCCCTTCC